TATATATATATATATACTTAAAGTCACAACCCCTGGTATGCCCAAGTATGGGAGGAAGGTCACACTTCCACTCTCTGTCATTAGGCTCGTCACAAGAGACCATCCAGACGGAAACCCAATATTTTTTACTGTTGCCTTTTTTTTGTTACATTTGTTATATTTATGCTGATAAATAAATTTCTGTCTGGATGGTCTCTTGTGACGAGCCTAATGACAGAGAGTGGAAGTGTGACCTTCCTCCCATACTTGGGCATACCAGGGGTTGTGACTTTAAGTATATATATATATATAGAGACCATCCAGACAGAAATTTATTTATCAGCATAAATATAACAAATGTAACAAAAAAAAGGCAACAGTAAAAAATATTGGGTTTCTGTCTGGATGGTCTCTATATATATATATATACTTAAAGTCACAACCCCTGGTATGCCCAAGTATGGGAGGAAGGAACACATATATATATATATGTTCATAATTTCCATCTTCCTGTAAGGATTTCAATAGATAGAATGGCTAACATAATGAAATGTAATAATGGCTGTTCTGAATTCCTAATCACAGAGAAATTGAAGCAAATATCTAATGATACTAAAGTTAAATCAGATGCACAACCCTTGCCAAGATTCTGTTTTTAGCAACTTTACTGAAATAACTGATCTCTCAAGGCTGAATTCATGATTGTTATTTAGACAACTAACACACACACACATAAACAAACACACACACACACACACACACACACAAAACTCCCTTTCTCCAAAAGTCTAGAGTAGCCCATTTTAAAACCATACAAACCTTGTTGAGATTTAATGCATAAACTCTATGAAATGACTTAAAAATGATTTTAGTATGAAAGTTTGTTACAATTTGTACAATTATATTTTTGGTATGCTATATACATTATTGTCACTTGTCCAAAGCATCTCTATATAATAAATGCATCATTCAAAGACATTGTTTTAAAAAGGAAAAATAAGAAATGAGTTTGTACTTCAGTTATTAGAGATAAGTAGCATTGTGAACAAAGATTTCTTGAACATATCTATTTAAGTGTTTTGCAATGGATAACTATCAAAACCAGTTCCCAATGCCATAAACGGAAGATCATGTGATGATCCCTTCCATAAAATATACTTAGCCAATGGCATATTGGTTGCTAAAATGTTTGCATGGTACATAGTCAGTAACAATTCTGTCACCTTTCAAAATAAGGCATATTATGCTACTTACTGTGCAAATGAATTTTTAGAGAGATGCCTCAAAAATGAAAGATTAGGCTGCTGGAAGAATAAAACAGCAAGCAACATGACCAACCAACCAATGTTGCTTTAGCTATTTTCCTTTCCATAAAATAACTTGGCAAAATTAAAACTCTGGACAAAGATATTCATAGAATTTATCTTGGAAATATAAAAATGAAATAGAGTGCATTTTGCTTAGTCCAGGCATACATAGTATATTGTAAGTGAGGATTTCTACAAAATTATCACTTTTTATAGAAAGAGATAAATAAAACGTCTGCTTTTACTATCCATTCATTTTACTAGATTGGCACTCCAGCCCAGCAAACAAAAGCAATAATTGAAATAGGGGTTGCCATTTAGCTGTGCTTTATTTGTAGACAAGAAGTTTCAAAAAGCATGAAAGTTGTTCATAAACTTCAGAACAGATTATTCATTCTATTAATTATTAAAGTGCTTAAAAATAACTGGTAAACTAACTGCAGGGAACTTCTCCTATATTTCGGTGTTTCTGATATATGACCAAAAGTAGAACAGATTGAGAGAGAGACATGTAAACTACATAGTTATGAGATTGTTGGGTTATTTTGTTCTGTTATAGTTGGCGACACTTATAGCACCTATTATTTTTCACATGGGTCACAGAAGATTTTCCAAGACAAGACTGAGATTCAGTGTGAGACTTAAGTGTTAGGCACAGCAAGACATTGTTTCTCTAGAAATTTACCCTGTATAACAATTATGGCAAAGCTTTATTAATAACATGGCTACCATAGAGCACAGTGCGTATATATGCATATAGGTCATGTGTATATCTAAATGTATGTCAGTCCCAAGATTTAACTAATAACACTTCTCCTTATGACTTTTTTAATCACTGGACTTTAGACCATTTTTTAAATCCAGCCTTGGTGGTCAGATATCTACCTTTGAAATAATAGAAAATACTTCTATCTCACGTTTTAGATTTTGGCAGTGGTTTGCTCTCCATGCTTGTTTCAATTTAGTTTCTGAACATTTCATTACCAGACTAGCTAACAGCATCAGCAGAATTTTCTTGTCCTATCTGTCTTTAGCTTATATGTGTTTTGTGTGCCAGTGTGGTCAGTTGGTTGTGTGATTGGTTGTTTATTTGCAGGTATATTTAATTCTGAGCAGCTGATTGGTTGTCTTGCTGTTTAGCCATTTGACCACACTGTACACAAGACATATATAAGCTAAAGAGGAATAGGAAATGAAAATCCTGCTGCTGATGTTACCTAGTTTGATAACGAAATGTTCAGAAGCTAAATTGAACCAAGCTTGGAGAGCAAATCACTGCCAAAATATCTCTAGCTTGTTTATATAATCCTTCTATTTATACCGGAACTTGCTCTGGAGATGGATCTTTGGTTTGACTTTGGTTTCTGTGGATTTTTCTGGCATATGACCCTGTCTTTGGAACTGTGTCCAGCCAATATTTATTGTTACCTAGGCAAGAATTGTGCCCTGCCTTGATTTATAACTGTTCAGGAATGCTTACATCTCTGTATTTACTGTAATTGACAATTTAAAAAATCAATTAAATCTCACAGATTTGTAAATTGCTTTCTATTTTCTGTCAAAGCTTTAAATAGGGTGGGTGATGTCCTGTAACAAGAGCTGATCTTTAAACTATATAGAACAGCACCATAAAGTGGAGAGAAATTTCATAGAAAGCAAAGTCTAGTCTTCAATGTCCTCTATGGTTCAACATCTTCTGTGAGGACCTAGCATGACTGGATTAATCTTAAATAAAGTGCTGAGCAAATTGAATCACTACATAAAACAGGAGGGTGTACCAGGATGTATTCGGCAGCAGGTGCAGCTGGTCACTGTAGATGGCTTGAGATAATTGACTGAGTCAAGGCATAAACTGAATTATTATAAGTAAACCTAGCTATTGATCAGGTCAATTGCCTTATAGGCAGTTTAGATTTAACTGTTAGCAATGGAAAGAGGAAGATATTTTTAAGAGCTAATAGTTAAAAACAAGTTTGCACAAGACTTACATACTTGAAAGAAATTAAATGATTTCTAACTTTAGGAGCAGAGAGGGGGGAATAAAATTAGCCATCTTAGGGAGAAGATAGAAAAGGAAATT